GCTTGTAGTAGGTTTTAAAGCTTTTTGACCAAACGAACAATTATCATTGACGGTTTTAGAAAAATAACTAAAACTAATCAAAGACAATTTTAATTTTAGTAATAGCACTAACATTTTAMAAATTTTCATTTTTTATTTACTCCATTATTTTATAAAAACTACGGAGAATTTTCAATTACAATCTCTTAATTAATGTACTAACTAGATTCAACATTCTACCAAAAGATTCCAGCATCGAAGATGATGACTGTTGAGCATTTTTTGTACTATAGAAACGTTGAGAAGTTCAAGTTGAACAAACTTTTTCAAATATATCACCTTAATGTCTAGAATTATGATTCAACTGCACAAATGAAAACAAAATTGTAATTATTTATTTTCAAGCCCCTGCCTTTATTGAAAAATCCAGCTGGATTAGCTTTTATTTTTAAAAACATGATATCGTTGTGAATTTCCACTAAYAAATAAAATTTTACTAATTTTATTATATTAAGCATTTCACATACTATAATATAATATATATTGCATAATATACAATATACATATTTTCTATCAATATTCACTTATCAATATTAATAAAAGACAACCTTTGTGTATGCGTTTCACATTCCACAGCCAAGCCTAAATTAGACCCATTGTTCTGAAGTTTGGTACAGAAGTAATTTTATTCTACAGGTGTCCAGCGATAGAGGATTTACCCATTGTGATATCTACCGAAATAATGGAGATATCAAAATTCTGGATTTATAAAAAAAAATCACTGGACTAAGAACTACAATTATTTCATATTTTAATTTATTTTAATATTTTGGTAAAAAGTTAAAAAATACATTTTTTTATTTTATTATTTCCAAAAAAAATCATTGTAGCCATTTTATAGTTTATTTTTCTAAACATATTGACGTTTTAACATTTTATTTTTGTTAATTTTCTGATTTTTAATTTTTTCTTTAGTTTCAAGAAAAATTATGTATTATTTAATACTGTATAGTGTTATCATTGTTATCAAGCATTCCAAACGCCTCGCTGCGCGCGTACTCGTATGGCCAGCTGAACGATTTCAGTGTGCCTAGTTATAATTATATTTTATTTATTAAAATCTAGAACAAATATTAAAAATATTAAAAATCATGAAATTAATGAAAACAACATTTTGAAACGTCATTATATTCAGAACGATAAACTCTACAAAATGACTATCTTAAATATTTTTGGAAATAATTAAATTAAAAAATATATTTTTAAAATTTTTACCAAAACATTAAAGCAAATTAAAAAATGATATAATTGTAGTTCTTATCCCTGTGAGTCTTATAAAAAAACAAGAATTTTGATATCTCTATTTGGAAAATTAGATTAGATATTTTGATTAAAATTTTAAACTATGTATGTATATCACCAGTGGCGCAACCAGGGGTGGGGTTTGGGGGTTGTGACCTCCCGAAATGTTTTTAAAAGTCAAATATTTAAAATTGAAGACACTTCATTAAATGAAGACTTTTTTTTTTTTGCTAATTTATTTTTTTATATGTATAACCCCTCCCGAAAATAGATCCTAGTTGCGCCACTGTATATCACAAACTTATTCATATCGAATATTGATAAATTGTATCCATGATGGTACCTATTGACTTTCGTATAAGTTAATAATAGGTATATAGTTAATAGGTATAATATGAAATAATATTTTAATTTATAATAATATATATATTTTTTTTTTGACAAACATTAGTTTAATCTACAAATTACTAATAGAAAAATGAATTACTAATAGCAATATCTTTAAATAATTATTAAAATATTTTTAGAAACATTATAAACTCACAATCAGAATTATTATAGATATTATCATTGAATTACAATTTAACTATTAAAATTATCTACTCAATAACAAGGTAATTCAACAATTACTTAACAGCAGAAAGACTTCTCTGTTTTTTTCTATTTTTAATATAAATGTGCATATTAGTAATTTTACTATAATATATATTTTTTTAAATTATTTTTGATATATTTTGAGTACGACACTAAGACAGTGCCTATGGTGGTTTCCTGACCTGACTTTTTTTAAATGAACAAGTTACCATTTTGCATCGACAAAGTTTTAAATTTTCTTGATTTTTTTATTGTTAATGAGTAGACAAATCACGAGTTAAGGTTTTTTTAAATTAATTAAATTAAAATATAAGTATGTTTTTATAGTTTGAATGACCTTGGATTACAATATTTCAAGTTTCAATAATTAAAATATGGACAGTTATGAACTGTAAACAATAGGTTATAATTGAATTTATCAAAATAATTAATTTCAACATACTTCAAATTTTAAGTGCTCATAAAATAAAATGCATATAAGGATTTAAAAAAAAATTAAATATTAATAAATGTAATAACACATGATTGACTTTGAATTTAATTTAATGTGGTTGTTCTAAACATTTACTCTGTTTTATTTTATCTATTTATAGTAAGTACATACTGTATTGTACTTATGTGTAAACAGGGTTATGTGGTATAAAAATCTATGTCTATGGAATAATTTCACTTAGAGAAGTAGATGACACAATATATTTTCATAAATCTAATAGTATTCAAGAAATCTATAATAAAGGCTGTAAATGGTATCTTAAAATATTTTCTAAGAGATCATTGAATAAATAATACAAAATATAAATTAAATTATATCACTTACCGGGAGAACCATTAGGATTCATTGGATAATTTTCAGTTGATATATTTTGATCATCAACAT